TATAAAGACTTAGTAAAAGTGTGGAGAACATGACATGGTAAACATGCACATGTATGCATGTGCACTTCATTAAATGACCGATATATTTCATATAAGTAGTTTGTATTTTGAGATTGTTTTAGTACTGAGAATATGAAGATATATTGAAAGTGTAGACAATATGACATGGTCTTCATGCACATGCATGTTTGCAATGGGTAAAATGACCAATATACTTGATAATGCCATAATCTTTATATTTTTTGATAAAATGCTTTGAAACTCAGAATATATAAACATATTAAAATTTTGACAAGATGGTATGGTCAACATGCACATGCATGCAAACAATGAGTAAAATTACCAATATACTTCATGTAACTGCAACTTTTTTTTTTTTTTAAATAAATGCTTTAATACTCAGAATATAATTAGTGTAAACAAATTGACATGGTTATCATGTACATGCATGCACCGCACACATGCATTGAGTAAAATGACCAATATACTTGATATTATTGCAACTTTTACTTTTTTTAAATGATTTAATACTAAGAATATAATGATATATTAATAGTGTAAACAAATTGACATGGTTATTATGTACATGCATGCATGGCATGGATGCAATGCACAGAATGACTAATATACTTGATAAAGACATAATTTTGTATTTTTTAATGAAATTTTTTGATACTCAGAATTTAAAGATAAATTAATAGTTTAGACAAAAAGACATGATTATCATGCAGGTGCGTGTGCATGCAATGCGTTAAATGACTTATATACTTGATATCACTGTAACTTATATATAATTTTTTGAAATCTTTTGATACTGAAATATAAGATATTTTATTAGTGTAGACAAGATACATGGTTTCATGCATGCACTTGTGCATGTGTAATGCGTAAAATGACCAATACACTTGGTATAGCCATAATTTTTATACTTTTTTGAAAAATGCTTTGATACTCAGAATATAAAAAAAAAATAAGTAGTGTTGACAAAATAACATGGTATGCATGCACATGGGTGCACATGCAGTGAGTGTCACAGAATCAATTCCTAATTTTATAGAAACGGAGACCTAATTGTGTCAAATTAATTAATTTGCGTGAAGAAAACACTACAGTTTAATTGTTTTACTCCTTTCCTATGATATCACGGGTTCTATCGTATTGCGCTAATATATAAGTAATATATAGCATACCAACTGCAATTCTGGCATTTGAACTTCTGATCAGTATATTATTCTCAAACAGATATTAAGAAAAAAAAAAACTGACACAAAAGCATATAAAAACTACTATTTTTACAGATCATGCAGAGCATTAAAAGAACTTTTGAACACCTAGAAAATACCGAACTTTTCATTTTGGGTGCTTTGCACAAAATTAAAAAAGGAAAGATGGATGAAGGAGAAAAGGACTTAGAAGCCATAGCAAGAAAATGTAAAGCCGCCGTTAAATCTCTAGAGTGCAAATTTGACAATGTTTTGAAAGAAAATGAAAATCTTAAGAAAGACCTGGAAGCTTTTAAAAAGCAATCATCAGAAATGGAAATGGAGAAAGAAAAACTGAAAGAGGAGTTGAACCAATCACAGGCCATTGTGTCTTCTGTATTTCATTCTGACAGTGATGAACATTCTGATGAGGGTTTGTCAGAGAATACAACAGGAAAGGGAGAAGATGAACAGAGGAGTGCACCCTCAACTCCAGAAGTTTTATAAATATAGTTGGAAAAATGAGAATTGAAATAATTCAAAATAAAATTCTTGAGAAATAAAGTTGTTGTAGTATGAATCATTTCCATTCATAAACTAATAAAGAGAACCATACTTCCAAGATTATACTATAAATGAAACATAAATTGGGTACTATAGATTCACAATGGCCTGTGATTGGTTCAACTCCTCTTTCAGTTTTTCTTTCTCCATTTCCATTTCTAATGGTTGCTTTTTTAAAGCTTCAAGGCCTTTCTTCAGATTTTCATTTTCAATCTTATGGAACGCCAAATTAACATATATTTAAATATTTGAACCTATCTTCAAATAAATTGAAGATAGGTACAATAGAATTAAAGATAGGTACAATTGAATTAAAAATAGGTGTAAATAATTATACATATCTCTAAATAATTAAACCTAGGTTCAAATAAATTACACCTATCTTTAATGGAATTACACCTATCTTTAATTCAATTAAAGAAAGGTTCAATTGAATTATACCTATCTTTAATTCATTTGAAGATAAGTACAATTGATTTAAAGATAGGTACAATTGATTTAAAGATAGGTACAATTGATTTGAAGATAGGTACAATTGATTTGAAGATACATTGTAGGTATAATTGATTCGAAGATGGGTACAATTGAAACATATCCACAAAGGATTTGAAGATTCTATTAGTTGCATAGTTTTGTAGTGACGGGGTATGGGATGATACCTGGTTAGTAAATTTCATACCTAGCGAGGCGAAGCCGAGCCAGGTATGAAATTTACTAACCAGGTATCATCCCGTACCCTGTCACTACAAAACTATGTAACGAATTTACCCCACCTATAAAACATTTATATATTGTCTATGGTTTGTAAAATTGTTTTCCTAACTATATATATATTTCATCATCACTCATGCAATGCCTATTATGACGTCATGTTGAGTTACGTAATGTTGTTTTGCGAGTGTTTCGTGCTGCAATAACGTACTGACAGTTTTGAAGACTTTCAGTAAAGGGAGAAAAAGGTTCAATCTCGTTACTTACATTAGTTAACTGTTTAATTGTCAAAAGACACTTGGCAAACCTCTTGAACTCGAGTTATTCGAACGTTACAAAAGAACGATAACTCCGTATCAACCATGCATTGATTTTCAAGCGACTAGGTATAAGTAATACACCCCCTTCATGTGACAGACTTCAACCAATCGTAAGCCAGGATTTCATCGAAAAATCAACAGAGGTGGGGTAAGATGAAATCCCATGTAGTAAGAACATACAAATCATATTTCCCATATGACCTCCTAAATGCTAATTGTGACGTCATGAACTTGTGCATTTTCCATATTTTTAGCTCACCTGAGCCAAAGGCTCAAGTGAGCTTTTCTGATCAAAATTTGTCCGTTGTCGTTGTTGTTGTCATTGGTGTTGGCGTTGTTGTCGTAAACTTTTCACATTTTCATCTTCTTCTCCAGATCTACTGGGCCAATTTCAACCAAACTTGCCACAAAGTATCCTTGGGTGAAGAAGATTCAAGTTTGTTCAAAAAAGGGCCACGCCCTCTTTAAAGGGGAGATAATAAAGAATTAGTGAAAAATTAATAGCATCTTTTAAAAATCTTCTTCTCAAGAACCACAGGGCCAGGAAAGAAAAAACTCATGTGGAAGCATCCTCAGGTAGTGTAGATTCAAGTTTGTTTAAATCATGACCCCCGGGGGTAGAGCGGGGCCACAATAGAGGATCAAAGTTTTACATAGAAATATATAGGAAAAATCTTTAAAAATCTTCCTCTCAAGAACAGCAAAGCCCTGATGAGTCATATTTATATGGAAGCATCCTCAGGTAGTGTAGATTCAAGTTTGTTCAAATCATGACCCTGGGGGGTAGAGCGGGGCCACAATAGAGGATCAAAGTTTTACATAGAAATATATAGAAAAAATCTTTAAAAATCTTCTTCTCAAGAACAGCAAAGCCATGATGAGTCATATTTATATGAAAGCATCCTCAGGTAGAGTAGATTCAAGTTTGTTCAAATCATGACCCCCGGGGGTAGGGCGGGGCCACAATAGAGGATTAAACGTTACATAGAAATATATAGGAAAAACATTTAAAAATCTTCTTCTCAAGAACAGCAAAGCCCTGATGAGTCATATTTATATGGAAGCATCCTCAGGTAGTGTAGATTCAAGTTTGTTTAAATCATGACCCCCGGGGGTAGGGCGGGGCCACAATAGAGGATCAAAGTTTTACATAGAAATATATAGAAAAAAACTTTAAAAATCTTCTTCTCAAGAACAGCAAAGCCCTGATGAGTCATATTTATATGGAATTATCATCAGGTAGTGTAGATTCAATTTTGTTCAAATCATGACCCCTGGGGGTGTAGGGAGGGGCCACAATAGAGGATCAAAGTTTTACAAAGAAATACATAGGAAAAACCTTTAAAAATCTTCTTCTCAAGAACAGCAAAGCCCTGATGAGTCATATTTATATGGAAGCATCCTCAGGTAGTGTAGATTCAAGTTTGTTCAAATCATGACCCCTGGGATAGGGAGGAGCCACAATGGGGGATCAAATTTTTACAAAGGAATATATGGGAAAATTGTTTAAAATTCTTCTCAAGTACAACAAAGCCATTTGTTATATTGACATGAAACCCCCCCACCCACCCCCACCCACCCCCCCGGTAATCTTTTCAATACTGAACTGATTTGTACTTTTGCCTACCAAATGTGCTCAGGTGAGCGATGTGGCCCATATAATGAAAATTCTTGAAACACCCTGTCTCTTCCTCTCAACAAAGAAAAGGTTAAAAAGTAATGAATAAAACAAGAAATGAAAAAGAAAATATAGCACTACAACTTAGCAACTAAATCCTTTTTTTTTTTTTTTTTACAGTTATGCATTTTGAATCTGATTTAGAAAACTGATCTGTCTCTTACATTACTACAATATACCAGACTGACTAGATGAGGCTTTTGCAGTAGTTTGGATTCATTTTAAAGAAATCATGTCTTTTGAGTTTACTGTTAATTGCTTTATTTATTACATTATTTAGGTTTATAATAAATTTGTTAAATGTTTGAACAGGTGGTTCCAGTTGTCCTTTGAGAAAGAATGTACAGTAGGAATGCTTATTCATGTTATGATTGTGGGAAACAGTATAAGACTAAACGTGGATTAGAGCAGCATACATGCAATAAATGCTCAGATTGTAACAAAATTTTCTCATCAAAACAGCGTTTAAAGACTCATGTATGCGTTAAGATGCCAACTCATAATTTCTATTCTTCAAAATCTGAGATGTCGGGAAGAGATTGCATTATTGAATCTGAGACAACTGAAATATTTTACTTTCATCCTGTTAATAAGGATTGGCAAAGCAGGATAAGTTCTTTATTATCTATGGGACATTTTGTAGGATCTTTGCCTACAACAACCAACATGCATGTCCGACTTGGTATACCAAGTACTATTCAAAAAGTAGTTGGAGATGGTAACTGCTTCTTTAGGTGCATCTCCTATACTGTCAGTGGCAGTCAGCAGTTTCATTCAGTTGTACGAGAGAGAGTAATAAATCACATGAGGGAGATGGATGATAAGTTAACGTCAGTTTTACCAATGATAGAGAGTGTTGCCAACTACATTAGACGAACGCGGATCAATGAATGTACTTTCTGGGCTACAGAAGTTGAAATAATAACCGCTGCACATTTACTTAAGACAGACATCTTCATTTACAGCTCTGACCATGGGTGGCAGAAATACAGTGGAAAACTAGTAGATCCATTATTACAAACAGAGGAATTTGCAATATATCTAAAGCACACTAATGGTAACCATTATGATGTGGTCACCAACACAGTACAAGTAACAGAGGTAAATTCAGTCTTCTAAAACTATACAGTTACTGGCATTTTTATACTATAAATAAATAAACAATCATGCATATCTATGATATATGTTGTATAACTAAATAAGTATTTTTTTCAAATTCAGAACACTGTTGTTGAACAAAAGGGAAAGCTGCTGTCAGTCAATGATCTTGTTCAACAATACTATGCTGAAACAAAGAGACGACAACAAAACAGAACCGCACAAGAAATTAAAAAATTGAAAGTGAAACAGAGGCAGCAAAAGTACAGAGAAAGGCTTTCAGCAGAAAAAAAAGAAGCACTCCGCATGATCGACAGAGACAGAAAAAGAAAGCTTCATGAAAATGAGACTATAGTCTGTAAAGAAGCAAATAAAATAAAGAAGAAACAGCAACGTTTAAGTATTGATGATGAGCAAAAAAGAAAAATAAATGAGAAGGATAGATTAAGAAAGAGGGAGAAGCGCTCCAAGTTATCTGAAGAGCAGAAATCAAAAATTTGTGCTTCTGAGAGAAAACGTAAGAATGAAATGCTAAAAAGTGTTACAGAAGAGCAAAAAAAAGAATTCAATAAGAGAGACCGACAGAAAAAGAAAGACAAGCGTTCCAATTTATCTGAAGAGCAGAAATCAAAAATATGTGCTTCTGAGAGAAAACATAAGAAAGAAAAATTACGAAGTCTAACAGAGGAACAAAAAACAGTATTCAATGAAAGAGACCGACAGAAAAAGGAAGACAAGCGTTCCAATTTATCTGAAGAGCAGAAATCAAAAATTTGTGCTTCTGAGAGAAAACGTAAGAAAGAAAAATTACAAAGTCTAACAGAGGAACAAAAAACAGGATTCAATGAAAGAGACCGAAAGAAAAAGGAAGACAAGCGTTCCAATTTATCTGAAGAGCAGAAATCAAAAATTTGTGCTTCTGAGAGAAAACGTAAGAAGGAAAAATTACAAAGTCTAACAGAAGAACAAAAAACAGGATTCAATGAAAGAGACCGACAGAAAAAGGAAGACAAGCGTTCCAATTTATCTGAAGAGCAGAAGACAAAAATTTGTGCTTCTGAGAGAAAACGTAAGAAAGAAAAATTACAAAGTCTTACAGATGAAGAAATTAAAACATTTTATGAAATTGAATCAGTAAAGAAAAAAGAAAAAAGAAGTAATAGAACATCTGTAGAAAAATGCCAAACAAATCTAATAGAAAGCAGAAGAAAACAAGATTTTAGAACATTACAGAATGAAGATCAAGTAATACAAAGATTTTCAAAAGACATCCATCAGTACCCAGAGTATGTTTGCACATGTTGTAGAAGACTGCTTTATAGAAGAAGTGTAACACATGTTGGAACAGAATCTTTCAAAAATTCCTCAGAAGAAGTTGTAAACAGTTGCATAACAGGAAGAATATCTGCCTTGGGATTTCAATGGATTTGTCAGACTTGTGCTAGATATGTTAAAAAAAACCAAATTCCCCCACAGGCTCTTTATAATGATATGGAAGTTTCTGACATACCTGAAGAACTAGCAAAATTAACATCTCTAGAAAGAAGATTAATTTCTCGTCGTTACCCATTCATGAAAATGCTAGCATTACCAAAGGGGAAGCAGAGTGGCATAAAAGGTGCGGTTGTAAATGTCCCTGTGAATGAAGAAAATGTTGTCAATAAATTGCCAAGATTACCAAATGAAGCTGGTGTTATCCCCTTGCGATTAAAGAGGAAAATTGTGTACAAAACACATGAAAAATTTGAGTACATTAGACCAAACTACATCAAAGATGCATTGAATTGGTTGAGAGAAAACAATGAGCTCTACAAAGACATTACTATCTATGAGAACTGGGAAACAAAGTGCTCTGAAAATGATAAGGAGCTTTGGACAGAACTCACCACTAATGATCAAGACAACAATATTCTTAACAGGAGTGAATGTCTTCCGGAAGAAAGTGCTGTCAAAGAAAATTCAGAAGAGGCACATGAAGACATTTATGATGATGATCCAGTATCACAACTTAGAGGTGTAAAATTTGAGAGTTGCATACAACCTTCTGATGCATCCATTGATGTAGATAAAATACTGAACATTGCTCCAGGAGAAGGCAAAATGCCATTATCTATTCTTATGGATGATCTTTTTGAAGAATTAGCTTTTCCAAATCTTTTACCAACTGGAAAATTTGGTTGGAAACATAACAGAAAAATCAAATTAACACCCAAAAAATATTTTCAAGCCAGACTACTGAATGAAAAACAAACATTTGCAGCAGATATTGAATATATTTTTGTGGCTCAAACAATAGTTGAAACTAAACAAATTACAGACAGTATGAGCATTGCTCTCAGGAAATCCTTCAGTGCAACTTCCACCGGAGATAACATTACAGCAGAAATGGTAAAGAACCCTACTATTTTGCACAGGCATTTGCTAAAGGATCATGGATACAGATTTCTGCAACCAGTCAGGGGCTCTCCACCATATTGGCAGAAAGTGCAGTACAAGCTATTAGCTGCTGTAAAACAGTTTGGAATATTTACATGGTTTTTTACTCTCTCTGCAGCCGATCTCAGATGGCATGACACAATACAGGCCATTGCATCACAGCGTGGACTTAATCTATCGGGCATTGATATTGATTCAATGTCTTGGGATCAGAAATGCTCATGGCTTCGTTCAAATCCACTTACTGCTGCTAGACATTTTCAATACAGATTAGATTGTTTATTGAAAGATGCCATTTTAGCAGATTGTCAACCATTAGGAGATGTTCTTCACTTTTTCTATAGGATAGAATTTCAGCAAAGAGGATCCCCTCATGCTCATGGAGTTTTGTGGATCAAAGATGCACCTCATCCTGAAAAGAGTAAAGAAGAAGATGTGAATGCTTTTGTAGAGAAATACATTAAAAGCACCATTCCACCAGAGTATGAAGACCCTCAACTTTACAGACTTGTAACTCAGTTACAGAAGCATACACACTCTGCTGCTTGTAAAAAGACGGGAAGGCAATGTCGTTTTAACTTCCCAAAGCCAGTTTGTGAGACAACTATGATCTGCAAACCTACACCCCAAGAAGAAAATTCCCAAGACCAAGCAAATATTTTGAAGAACTCGAAAGAAATTTTAGCCAATGTGAAAAACTTTGTAATCCAAACAGATGATTTACACTGCGTATCTCTTGAGGACATATTCTTTATGTGTGGGACAAATTCTCGGCAATATCACATTGCATTAAAAGAATCTGTTACAGATACTACCATCTACACTTTAAGAAATCCATCCGACGTCTATATAAATAATTATAACCCAACTTTGTTAAAGACCTGGCAGGCTAATATGGACATACAGTTTGTTTCCAACCCTTATGCTTGCATTCAGTATATAGTGGCATATATCACAAAAGATGAAAGAGAGATGGGAACATTACTGGAAGCTGCTAGCAAGGAAGCTTCACAATTAGGACTAAAACAGCAAATGAAAGCATGTGCAAAGACTTTTACAAATGCCAGATCTGTCAGTGCGCAGGAATCAGTGTACAGGATACTTGGTTTGCCATTGTACAAGTCTGATTTCACAGCTGTTTGGATCCCAACAGGTTTGCCGCATCAGAGGGTCCACCTCCTGAAGCCAATCAGTGTTCTACAAGGACTGGATGATGACAGTGAGAATATATTTACAGCCAGCATAGAAGAGAAATATTCTGCACGCCCTGTACAATTGACATCTTGGTGCTTAGCAAACTTTCAAGCATGGTAATTGAACTTTATTGTTATTATTAATATACATGTATTATAAATAGATAAATATTGTGTGTTGAAATTTTTATAAAACATTATAATATTTTGTATTCTTTAGTAATGTCAACGAATGTATACAAAATAGCTGTAAAGATTAACTAGTGTAAAGCAAATATAAAAAATTACATACTTTAATTCCAAAGAAAATCTACAATTCCTTTGTGAAAAAAGAAATCTTCATATATTCAATATAATTTTTACATGTATTGTTATATTCTCAGGTATGACCTATCAACATTCAAAGATAGCAAAGATGATATGCAGCCTGATTTGCTTCAAGAAGAGCAGTTGTTACTTGAGGACAGATGTCCAGAGAATTTTGTGTTGGAAGCACCAAATGAATTCATCATTCGTCTTGCTAATGGCAGTTTCAAAGTAAAGAAACGAAAAAACAAGCCCTTTTAAGATACCATCAATTCAGCTTAACCAAGGAACCAGAATCTTTCTATCATGGAGAATTATTTCTCTTTATACCATGGAGGAAAGAAGAAGAGCTGCTCGGCAGATTTGATTCATACATGGACAGCTATAACCATCACATAGATCAGATTAAAGAGACCAAAAGAAATCTACAGCAATATTCTGAGTTAGTAGATGCAGCATTAATAGAAGTAGCTGAAAATGGTTCGAGAAGTGATGCATGGGATTTGCTCAATCCAGAGATGGAAAAAGATCTAGCAGAGCAAAAAGATGAAGGTCTGCATGATGATCCAGCATTTTCTCATTTGGAACCCTCTGATGTCAACATTCACAATAATGTTTTACCACTATCTGAAGATAGTTTGCCTCATTGCCAGTCATCTTTGGATACATTGCAAGAAATATGGACAGATGAGGAATACAGAAACTTCATATGCAGTTTGAATATAGAACAGCGACTTCTCTTCAACAAAATCTTAGATTGGTGTACATCTTTTAGACAAGGTGTGAAGCAAAAACCATTTCATATTTTTGTGTCAGGAGGAGCTGGAACAGGCAAATCTCATGTAATTCAAGCCATCAGTCAGATGATTAAAAGAACTCTACCAAAAGAAGGTGAAGATCCTACTCTTCCACATTGTTTGCTTTTAGCTCCAACTGGTACAGCAGCTTTTAATATAAATGGTTTGACCCTACATTCAGCTTTACAACTTCAGCTTGGTCAAAGCAAAAATAGCTATATGAAACTGTCTGATGACAAAAGAAATTCTTTACGTCAAAAATTATCTTCACTATGCATTTTGATTGTGGATGAAATATCCATGGTTGGAAGTAATTTACTCCTTCAAGTACACAGACGACTAGATGAACTCTTTCGAAGTGAATATGAATTTGGAGGCATTTCTATTTTAGCATTTGGAGACCTCTACCAACTACCTCCTGTTGGTCAAAGTTTTGTGTTTCAACCTCCATCTGACATTTTAGCATCTCTGACATTACAGCTATGGGACCAGTTCTCAATTTTTGAATTGCATGAAATCATGCGACAAAAAGAAGATTCTGATTTTGCATCTTTACTTAACCGTGTACGTGAGTCAACTCATACAGTAGAGGATATTTCTGTTTTATGTACAAGATGTATAGATGAAAACAGTGAAAACTATCCACATGAAGCTCTTCATGTATTTGCTTTAAATAGAAGAGTAGATGAGCATAACAAAATTATGCTAAACAAACTCAACTCTACTCTAAAATCTATCACAGCGGTAGACCGAATGCCAGATTCATTGAAAGGAAAATCCATTCCAACTGATTCAAAATTTACTGGAGGACTACCAAAAATCATTACCTTAGCCATTGGTGCAAGGGTCATGCTCATTCGCAATGTTTTTGTACAGGATGGATTAGCAAATGGTGCACAAGGGACAGTTATTGGTTTCATTTACAAACAAAATTCCTCACCTCTTGCAATCATGGTTAAATTTGACAATACTTCAATAGGAAGAGAAACACGTATGGCATCAAAATTTGATTTGTCTGAATTTAATCCTTTGGCAACTCCAATTCTTCCAATTGAGGTGCAGTTCTCACTGTCTTGCAGCAAAAAGAATTTAAAAGTAACAAGATCCCAATTTCCACTGCGCCTTTCTTGGAGCTGTACCGTTCATAAAGTACAAGGGCAAACTTTGGAAACAGTTGTAGTCTCTTTCCAGGATCAATTTCGTGATGGTCAAGCATATGTAGCTCTAAGCAGGGCTCGCTCCTTAAATGGACTATATATTCTTAATTTTGATGCCAACAAAATTCGCAGTAGTAAACAAGTTTTGAGGCATATGGAAGAGATGAGGCAAAAAAAACAAGTTGAAAATCTTCAGATTTCAGTAACTGAAAAAAACCTTCTCATGGTTTCACACCTGAATGCAAGATCTGCCCGTTTACATTTTGAAGACATAAAGGCAGATCCTACCCTGGAAAGATCTCATGTAATATGCTTGACTGAATCACACATTAGTACTTCCGCAGACTTTCAGATTCCAGGTTATCATTCTATTATACTTCCAGCCTCTACATATCCAAGCAGATGTCATGGAATTGCTGTGTTCTATAAAGAAAACTTGGACATTGAAGGAAAAGAATTGTGTAACACCCAGGAATTCTCATTTCTTCATGTCATCGTATCAAGACAGTACCATTACATATTTATATACAGATTTCCAAAAGAAAGCTTTCAAAAATTCAAGTCCCAATTGTTAGCAAAACTGCCTAAAAATGACACACCAGTGTTACTTATTGGTGACTTTAACATTGATTTTCAAAGTGATACAGGAAGAAATTCGTCTATGCGAGACAGCTTCCAAAAAGACTTGTTCTCACTTGGATTTAAACAAGAAGTTAAAAAACCAACAACAATTTATGGATCTACTTTAGATTTGGCATTTTGCAACGAACTGATGCAGCTAGAGGACATCCTTATTACTCCATCTTATTACTCTGACCATAGTATAGTCACCATTAGTCACAAATGAATAAATACAAATTACAAACTTTTTATCATTTTAATGTCATTATTAACTTTCCAATTCATTTGTGTGAAGACTTATCTAATGATATGTTCTGAGAGATCATCTACAAATTTCCTACACACAGACAAAATGAACTTGAAATATCATGTTGCTGATTCATATTCAGTGTTAATCAACACTACATTCCATACAACAAAGGAAACAACTATACTAAGAGTACTAAAGGTATTAAATTTATATTTTGAAAAATATTAAAGTTATGCATGAAAAGAAATAATGAAATCATTTCTTATCTAATTCATTCATAAGGGGAATGAAAATTCTCTTTCTGACAAATCGCTAGTAAGTTTTTTACTTGAAGGAGATTATTTCCCCTCAAGCACCCACTATGTTCATTCTAAATATCCTAAATATGCATTATTACTTTAAAAAAACCAATTTAATACATAAATTCTTCTCTGCTAAATGGAAAAAAATTCCATTGTGAATGGAACAGAATATTGGGCCATGACAAGGTACCAATAAATACCTAGGTTTTTTTTAAAATATTGCATTACATTTGTAACATCAGGCGGGGCATTCATGTCCTATGGACATATTTCTAGTTGTTTCTTTGTTTTTTAACGTCCCTTTCAAGAATTCTTCACTCATATGTAGACGCCACTTGCCGGCAGAGGGCTGCTAATTTATACCTATAATCAGCACTGAGGGCCATTGAGCAGTTGGGGATCTTTTTCATGGCAACACCTACTGGGACACGGGACCTCGGTTTACACTGTCTCATCCGAAGGACCGGTCTCCACGTTCCCCAAAGGATTCGAACAGCATCACCTTCATTTAAAATAGGTTTTGATAGGGATTGAGATAAAGTAGAAGTCTCTTCAGATAGGATACTTTTTTCCAGATTATTTATTGCAGTTATAAGCAGTTCGTCTTCCTGCCTATGAATAATATGCAGAGCTATCTGGTATCTAATTAATTTAAGATGAAAACCATGGTGATTCAAAACAAAAATGCCCCAAGTCCCCATGTAATTCATTGGCAACCAGAGGTATCTGGGAAAAATCACCACATAGTACTACTTGCATGTTTCCAAATACTTAGGTTTTCTTATTTGTCGACAAACCAATTCTACTTGATTAGGTACCCGGCTGCTGGTCATCGACACCTCGTCAATGACCAGCATATCTGTCGCCATTTTTCTGTGTTTGACGTCCGTTAATTCTTCGTCAGTCAAAATGAACTTAAGTAAATCGGAATTTGTAAAGCGGCCATCATGAAGACCGGCGCATTTATGCAATGTTGTGGTACACAACTCCCCCTAATGTGTAGAAGCAAATCTAGTAGATGCTGTTATTGACACTTTCTTCCTCTAACTTTGTAAATTTTTCTCTATTTTTCGAACTAAGGTAGATTTTCCAGTCCCCGCCGCCCCGTAATAGGAATACTATGACCTTTCACTGCAAGATCATAGGTCACTCTTTGATCTTCATCCATCAGAATTACAGAACACGGAAGAAATTCGAGATTTTCCTATCTCTCGGAAGTTTCGGGCGTCATCGTGTGCGAAATGGCATTCGGACTTTCGTGACCAAGTGATGCCCAGAGAGAAAATTTACCGTAGTTGCGAGTGATTTTATTAAAATATTTACAAATCCTTAAAAATAAATTGGAAGAGATGAAAAAAAAGAAGAATGGCTAACAAAGGATCTTTATTGGAGTATGTATATTTTATGTTTAGTTATGCTTTCGATAATTTATCATGAAATGTTTAAGCGAGGTGAGGCGGATGAGGAGAAAAGAGTTGCAAGCCTTCTCTCTTTATATGCATCAGTTGAAAACGATTTTAATATTTAAAAACAGTTTATAGAGACAAAAAGGTATCATTTTGCGCGTATTAGACTAACGAAGTAGGAAAAAACGTTTGTCGACCCCAGATTTAAAAAAAAAAAATGGAAGGGGGAGGAACCAGCCCCCAAGTGCCTGTGACTTTAATGATAATCTTACCGATCATTACCGATAACAACGACTGCGATGTTTACAAAATTTGACAACCAGGTGTTGCTTTTGATTATTTTTCAGAGAAACTAGGTGCATGGTTATAACGAAAGAGTGTTTCTTCCAAAATTGTAAAAGTCATGGCCCCTGATGCAGGTATTCATCATTCTGGAGTAAGGGTGGTTCTCAATTAAGATCATGTATGGGAATATTAACTTTTTTTGCCTTTGTAATTCACTTTTGATAATAAATCAATGACTTATGTAAATAATGTAATTGGTACATGTACGTAACCTGAAATAAAGTAAGAATTTTCAACAGAAAGTATAAGTACTTTCATTTAAGTATTGAATCAAGCATTGAAAATGTGTTTGCCCACACCGTTGCAGGTATGAACTACATCTTTCAAAAAATAATGATTCTATGCTTATATTTACATTTTTCAACTCCTTGCCATAAAAACAA